GGAGAGACCATAGAGGAGATGGTGTGGGACCAGTGTGTTCCGGAAACAACTGACGGTGTAGATGTACAGACCATCAAAAGAATCCTGCGTAACCACAAAAACGAGTCCCGGGTACTCTTTCTCCTAGATGGGTATGATGAGCTGCGGCCTGAGGCCAGGGCAGCCGGGCAGGCCATTCCCAAACTACTGTCTGGTAGGACGTATCCAAAGAGTAAGATCGTGATAACCTCTCGACCCTCAGCAGGAGTGCAGCAACACACTCAGCCAGACTGCCACGCACACATCATTGGCTTCTCCTATGAGCGCGTGCTGAAGTTTGTCGTACAATATTTTCACAGCTATTGACAAGCAAGACCTGGCAGAGACACTTACAGTATATCTCGATGACAATAATCTTTTGGGAGGTTTAGTCCGGGCCCCAATTTTCCTAATGCTGGTCTGTCTGTTGTGGGAAGAAGACCGAGCAATCGTGTCCAAAGGGTCGATGACCGTACTGTACGACAACCTGCTGTTGTGTCTGGTCAGAAAGCTCTGTAAGCGGGAAGGTGTGGACATGCCATCAGACGGGATGCCTAAAGACTTGGCTGAAGCATTGCTGCAGCTCGGCAAGCTTGCGCTAGAGGCGCTGCTGAGGTATGAGGCCCAACTTGACCGTGCAGAAGCAGAAAGACAAAGCTTGAACTGTGATCTGTTGTTGAAGCTTGGCGTAGTCTTCTCAGAGGAATCCGCCTCAAAACTGCACCCTCGAAAACAGTTAACATTTCCACACAAGACGATGCAAGAGTTCCTGGCTGGGCGGTATGTCGCTTCTGTCTTGGAGAGTCAAAAGATAGGAGATCTGCTGGAAGTAACGTCACCAACCGAGGCGTTTAAGCAAAGTAACCTGCTTAAGTTCACGTGTGGCTGCGACTCGCGGGCAGTTAAAAGTTGTGATGGAATGGCTGGTAGATCTCATCAACACGAGTATCTATAATTTGTTTGAACTTGCGACTAAATATGACCAGCCACGGGGAAAAGCAGTTGGTATGTACGAAAGGTTTGTTCTTCTCTGCCTGGGAATCCTACACGAAAGAAGAGAGCCGGAGGTACTACAGGCTGTCAGAAGAGCCCTGCCTTGTTTGGACGTACACTACTCCTTAATGGACCGGAAAGAACAGGATGCTCTAACGTATTACCTACAAAACCTCCAGCCGTCGAACTCTCCGTACGAAATATCACTTCAAGCACATGGGTCCGGATCCGGAATGGAAATTGTTACAGATATTCTTCAGTTCCTGGAGCAGACGTTTACCCACCCGAACCCGTGTCTCCAATTAGATCTTACAATAAGAGACTTACCGTTTGATTCACCTGATGAGACATCCAGACTGGTTTCAGTTCTGAGGAATGTTCCTGGACTGAGGACTCTCGTTCTCGCAGAAGAAAATCTGACACCGGAAACACTCCAGCCACTTGGTGCGGGGGTTCAAACACATGTCCCGGTTAGAAAGGCTGAGTCTCGTATCAAACCCTAAACTGGGTGATGCTGCTATGGAACTCCTGCAAGATGGACTCGACTGTGTTCCAAATCTGCTTTTTATTGAAATCTCTGATTGCAGCGTAACAGGTGTGAGTATGTCATCCCCTGGCTCCTCGCCTGAGCAAAATCTCAGGTTTGAATGCATTGAACCTAAGTATTAATGAGATCGGTTACACCGGGCTGGAATCTCTCACCACCGTCATTCCAAACTTCATGGCCATGCAATCTTTGTTCTTGCAGAAGATCGGTATCAGCCCCGCTAGTATGCGCACATTTGCCCCAGCACTGCGTCATCTAGTTGAGTTGCTCGAACTGGACATTTCGGAGAATTACATAGGGGATTACGGACTGAAGTGTCTGGCCGACATTCTTCACTGCCTGACTGCATTGCATGTGTTGCGGCTAAGTAAGACAGGTATCCGTGACAAGGGAATATTGGCCTTGGTCAAAGCGCTGCCTCACTTGGTACAATTGCAGGAGTTGGACGTAAGCTGCAATATGATAGGGGAGTCGGGGGTTGTCTCACTGGTCCAGACACACTACTACCAGCGCAGCAGCTTGTACGTGGACCAAAACCCACCTGGTGACGAGAGCCTGACAGCGCCACACTGCGACGACACACCGCAAGTGCCAGAAAGCCAGGAGACTGGCGGAGCAACAGGAACCGTGCAGGTGTTGGTCTCACAACCTCGCATCGCAATGCAGAATCTGACCAAACTGAACATCTCTCGCAACTACCAGCGCACGCCTGTACACCTGTCTGACACCGCTGTCAAGGCTGTGGCCGAGGCTCTGCCCAGACTCCCTGCCTTAGAGTGTCTGGGTCTGGCGAAGTTCTCGATGGAAGCTGCGGGGTTCCAGACTTTGGTGACGGTTGCTGAGGAACATCCCAAGCTACGGAAACTTACGTGAGTCCGTGTGGAGTACATTTTAAATGATTGGAAATATCTGTAAAAAATTCCGAGAGTAAACATATTGCATACTCTTTTGGCATTGCATACATATTAGTCTTCATTGACATTGAATTATTTCTAAAGTTTTCCATCAAGACGACAAAAAACACATGTTTAAAAGCCCAGTTGTGTCGACAGTGTGCCGAAAATGATTTTTCCATCTGCAGCTGCAGGTACACAAAGGAACTAGTTCCTGAGGACGTGGACACCAGTGCCAGATGCTTGGACAAATCTTTTGCAATGGAAAGGTCAATAACCTCAGTTGTTTTACGCAAAAGTAAGATAATTGAAGACATATTTTATGTGTCTCATTACTTAATGTACACTATTCCTAGTCATGATCTCAGACTTGCTTCTTTTGTCTCTTTTGCATCTACAGGTTCTGGCCCAGAGTCGTTCGGTCCATGGCCATGGGGATCACGACGACCTTACAGCCATGCTTTCAACGTTAACGTTAAAGACCTTAAGGTCTGATAAACTTTTGAATAACGAAGGAATAAAATGCTTTTGTGACATTTGATCCATAGCGCTAGCCCTCAAACTTGACTGTTCTTGTTAGGTGCAACTGTGTATAAGGCCACACCAAGTAAATTTTATGGATGACGTCCGCGCGCGCATTGATTTTGGACTGTTCCTAGAAAAAAAAACCAAGAAATTCTGCTTCCTGTAACTATGACCAAAGAGTCACTACAGTGCCTCAAATCGTCAGATTGACGTGAAACCCGTAAGGCGAAAACAGGACAGGGACGACAACTGCTGTTCCACCTGATTTATTGCTGTTTTGATGATGAATAAAAGACTTCTTGCTTGTTACACTGTGTCACCTCATTCAATTTGTGTCCTAACATTTGTCATCTCTTAGTATATTTCTAATCTAGGCATCTTGTTTTTTAGGGCCTTCTTTTTTTT